AGCGAGCGTACAACCCTGCCAGCGCTAGCTTCGCGTAGCCCCGTTAAAAATCCGGGACTAGAGGGGTCTAGACGGGGCAACAGAATGTAGGTATACGCATTAAGTCGTAAAGCAAATAAAAAAGGATAGGCTACGATTGAAAGTTGATTAAAATATATGAATTAATTTAGATTCGCTAAAGAGTAGCATTCACGTTGAAATACATGCTTAATATTCACGGTAATCAGAGCAAGTGAGGTAATAATTAGTAATTAGAACAATGGACAGTGCAAATTTTTTTATGCGTATTAATTCTAGGCCAATGACTGAAGCAAGGAGGAGAACAGAAGCTCGAGGCGATTGTATGATTAAGTCTGAGAAAATATCTAACTTTATTAATTCGGACAACGTAATAGGAAAATTTTAATGTCTAGGAACCCTACCAACGCTAATGAAACAGCGCTATTAATGTAATGTGTAGCAGGACGCATTCCCGTATGGGAGGTCAAAGGGAGTATGTCGAAGTAAACGACCAAAACGGCTAACGGAATCTGTACAGTCTTAGACTTACGAAAGTAAACCGGCAAGACAAAGTGAACCAACCGTCAGCAGTATGATTTAATGCGGTGAGACTAGGTATGGTTAAATGTTAGTTCAATAAAGAAGCAAAACTACGTCTACTCAAACGCATATAGGTTGTTGCTTAAGTAGAGTTAACGAAAGTATTTTACATAGCGCACCGTCACACATACGTATTCTGCACTCACAGACCGGAGGGATGCAGCCTGCGTCAGGTCTCCTAAAAAAGGCGACAGGTCGGTGTGTGTAAAATCTACTGCGGCATAATCTCCCTGACGACGCCATAGGTTTGGTATCACAGAAAAAAGACAACTTCTACGTAAGTGGCGACGAGTGTGGTCTCTTTGATGTAAAATCATCGGCATCCGACAGGTTTGTGTCCTCGCACGAACTTTGTTCAAATACGTGAGACTGGGTCCTCCTTCATAATGAAAAAGGGTACTGCTCATAGTTCGTGCATTACGGTTCACCGCTAGGATGGTGACGTGGAAGTGCGCACGAGTTAAATTGCAGAAAGGTAGCCGTCTGTGCCTCAGATAACTACAAAGGTAACTGAAGTGGCGCTGAAAAGCAATTTCGCCGTGAGGAAGCTAACTGCCCGGTGTATTGTGGTAAGGCGCATCTTACCGATCGCGGCACACGGTGAGGCTCCTTGACGAGTGGACAGTCGTCGCTGCTACCTTGCGTAATATTTTCTGACGAGGTGAACAGTGAATCCAGCAAGTTCAACTTCGTGGAAACCTTCGGCATCGGCTTTAGACCATTCCGAGAACCAATATGAATATTTCCTTTTTCTAGTGGGGATTGTGGACAAGGTTGTCGACGCCCCCAGACAGAAAGTCAAAAATCGGGAACCAATCAATAAACGATGGTCGGCGATACAGACGAAAATACGAGTCCGAGGATATAAGAGAGAAGTAGGCGCAATCGCTGTGGCAAGGAATTTATTCGGCATGTCAAATCCCTGACCGTTGAATTGGATTTCACAGTCTGTTTGCCAAGATGAGGTCGTGTTGGCTTAGGATGCCATTTTCCTCTTTTCACGATCTCGCGATCGAGATTATTGAACTTCCCTGCAAAACAAACAGCGAATCGTCTCGGACATGCCCAAGTCTTTCGTTTCCTGAAGTTCGGTCTCAGGACGTACTTCAGGCTTGATGGAACAATCTACGAGCAGGTGAAGGGAACACCGACGTCGTCGGTTCGTCGGTTTCGGGACTCGTAGCCGAGGCATTCGTACAGCGGTCAGTTGCTGATCTTTAAACACAACCTAATTAAATTCTGGACTCGATATGTAGATGATACCTTCGTCGTCATCGAACGGGATCAATTGTTTACGTTGAAAGAACGTCGCAACACGTCTTCCCGGACACAGAATTTACGATGGAGGGGGCGGAAAAAGACAACTAGCTCGTTTTTCTTGATTTCCTCGGTTGTCACATACAGACAGGCTTTTTAAACTGAGTGGCCTTTTTTGTAAATTTTCCTATATATACATCGTTTGGCCTATTACATCACTGTAAAACGATGTTTACCTCCCTTCGTTTATTCGAAATACAACAATGAGGTCATCAGCACACGACGCCAGCCATTCTGGCCTACATTTTGCGACTTATTCAGGACATTTATTCGAGATGTCGGCAATTGCAGTCTTTGGCCATTATGCATTGATTTCCCGGCGTTATGTGGCTTGTGTGCTTAATTTGATTGACAGTGAATCCAGGACGCATTTGCTGAACATTTTTCGAAATAAAGCGTCTCTCTCTCTCTCTCTCAAAGATTGTGGTACCTTAAAGGCCAAAGTGTCTAGGAGAGTGACAAAGACGACACAATTACCACACTTCCACGACAACCATCCAATCAGTTAGAAACGCAGATGCGTACGGATGCTCTATCGGCGCGTCGAGACGCACTGCTGTGAACTGGAAGACAAGGTTGCCGAATTAAAATACCTTAGATGGGTGTTCAAAAAATGGCCACCCATGCACCTTCGTCCATTGGTGCATACGCAAACGAGACGAACAACAAAATCGCACCAATCCCAAATTTTGGCAAGCACTTCCGTACGTCTCCGGGCCGTCAGCCACCTTCTTGCACCACTTGGAGTTGTAGTCACACACAAAATAGAGGGATCCATTCGGGTCAGACTATATGGCAAAAAAAGTCTGGAGTCGTTTATCGAATCTGATGCATTGGTGGGTAGAGCAATTCTGTTTGGAAAACGGGAAGACAGTTGCCAACGCGAATGGCCGATTACGCGGCAGCAATGCGCAAAAACTGGGTCAAATCACAAGCCACGATTCATTGGACGAGAGTCGACCACACATGCAGGTCCGATGAGGCTGGAATTCGTGCGAGAGGTTACAATCGCGGCAGCCGCGAACTGCTTTAGTCACTGTTTACGGCGGTAAGTCTACTAACAAGTGTACTGATCTGCCTGCGGTGCCACGACATAGTTTAGGCACTCCGGAAGCACACGGGCGAAAACGGTTTCCAACGGCAGTACCGGTTAGCCAGGTGGCCAAGCAGTCATCATATCAATGCCCAACACTGTTGATTAAATTTCAGAGATCATCGACGCAAATCCCAGCCATCAAGCAGATATCGCACTAGAGGACAACCTTCCCCGAGGATGGGGGTGGAGGGGGGTAGTTAGGTGTTATGAGTAGGCGGTAGCATAGTGATTGTATACTATGAATATTGCAACTAGCTCTGTATGAATTACACGTATCTGATGATGTGTTCTAGCAAGAATCCGAAACGTAGGGCGAATACAGTTCTTGTGCCATCTGTCGCATTAACTTCTTCTCAACGGAGGGGTTATTACTTCAGAGAATGAGCATAAAATAGCCATTTCAGGATATTTTGCTCTGTGTTCAAGGTGGCATATGTTCTCAGTACTGACCCAATCATTCAGAGCCTGCAAGTTGTTGTAGTATGTGCGGAGCAGAACATGGACAGAAAGCAGTAATCGGAAAAATACGCGTCTCGCTTTGAATCCGGGCAAAACTGGCCAGCTATCGATTACATCCGGCTAGGCGAGGGCCCGTTGGTTGGAATACAGAATGTAGGCTTCCTTCTGGACGGCAAACTTGCATTAACTCCTCAGAACTATCGAAATAACGAAATGTACCAGGTTAGCGAAGGCCAGGGGCCGGAAACTGTGATAAAGGGCATAATTTTTTCGAAAAATTTCGAGGACTTAACTTCTTTAACAAAAAGCTTATTTGTTTTAAATACTTTTCGCAAACTTCCGAAAACTTAGAAAAGCAAAGGAAGACGTAAACTACCCCAGTCTGCCAGAAGGAAATGGAGGAAAGCTCAACAAAAGGCGCGGTCTACATCATCAACGGAGAGAAGTTTGACGAGTGGTTTGCAAAGCATTATAGCATTACAAAATACCCATATTCGGAAGAGTAGAAGTACGTCCAAAAACATGTCGTGCGAAAGGAATAGGTAAAAAATCAGGACGAGTTTGAGGGGGTGGGGAAAATCACTTACATCAGAAGCACGTCTGCGTGGCGACGGTGTATGCCCTGCACCAGCCTGATTGGTGCCGCCGGGGTGGAGAGGTGAAGGTCGGGTGCAATAGTTGGACCCATTTCCTGAGTCGTACTGCGGATGCGGCTGCTGCGGAGGGGCATTGACTTCTTGGACGGTTGCCAAGTTGAGTTCCTGGTGCAATTTCATCGCCAGTTCGTAGTCGGAAGAAAACTGCTGTTTGGCTGCCTCAGCGGCATTGATCTCGTCTTGCATCAACTTGCACGCCAGTTCGAAGTCCGGGTTTTTGCCAGGCGACAGCGCAAGACCCTTGGAAGCCTCTACCAGCATTTCCCTCTGCAGACGAATGGCTAGATCGTGATCCGATTCCTCGTTAGTGGTTGCTGAGTCAGCAGGAACGTCAGTCAGACCCTGTACTTGCCGTTGTCCTGCCTCGTCTGGCGACGCTATCGCGAGGCCGGCAGGCTGTGTGGGAGGGACTAGCCGGGATCTAGTGATAGTAAAAAGAAAACGGAAAATAGTAAAACAGTCGGTTGGCATTTCAATGCATGGCCGTGATGGCCCACAGCCTGGAGCGCAGATCTGCTGAGGCGATTGTGAAGAAGAATACACAGATAAAGAGGGATTGTAGAAAATTTTGGATGC